AGCCGTTAAGGTCCGTGCGGGGAGGAGGCCGCCCGTGGGCTGTGGGCTGCCTCCGCGGCCGGTGGCACCCGCTGGCCAACGGGAACAAAGATCGAGCGCTGAAAATAGGCAATTACAGGTTACACGGTCAAGTAACTGTTCTAGGAATTTGTCCCCAAACTGAGGAGAGGCATAAGTCTTCTGTGAGGACTGCACCATCCTAAATTTTAAACTATATGTCATGTATTTTAAGTTCACATATTTAAATAAAATTAAAAAAAGCCAAGGGAGTTGTGGTTGTTTTTATTTGGCCAGTAATTGCCCTCATTGATCAGAGCTTTTTCCCGACTACAAAAAAACCTCATTCGGATTTGGGCAGAGTTCACTTGGGTGCAGGGAAAACAAACTCCAGTGGCATGAACAGACACGTGTTTCCTTCCACACATGTAAGGCTGTGAGAAAAGCCAGTGCTCCACCTAGCTAGGAAGGACGGTAAATCAGTATCTAAGAGTGTAGAAAGACATCTGGGATTTTTTGGGTGTTGCCATCTGCTTGTCCCAGCTGAGCAGTCCTGGGGGGCTTGCACATGGGACTGGCATTGCTGGCGTCAGTCCTGTTGCAGGATTATTTCTCATTAACTCTACCGTGATGCTATTTGCCATTTGGAGAAATGGGGGGGTACGCTGTGCAGCGTTCTGCCGTGCAGGAGGGCTGTGGTCTGAGCAGAGACTAAAGCAGCTTTCGACTTTTCTGGGTTTACTTGCTTGGGGTATTGAGCAAGTTCCTTTATTGAGAGTAAGTCATGATAAATGCGGGTCTCCTTATGCTTTTTATTACATAGTTAACTGGGTTTCTGTGTCTTTTGTAAATTTCAGATGTGGGGAGAAATGCCACAAATATGTTCGGACAGTTAATACTGAACAGCAGAAAAGGAATTATGAAGGGAGTATTCCACTGGGGGGTTTAGTGTTCGTTCTTCATCTGGTGTTTTAGCTCTTTGTAATGGGGGACAGAAAGGCAGATCATAAAGCTGGTATAGCCTGTGCTTTTAGATGATGCATTGCTCTATGGGGAACTAGATCATAACCTTTTTGTAGTAACTATTATGCCGTACCTGAAGAAATCCTCCCAATAATCAAAGCAGTTGCACATTTTTACATATTAATACTTTATTTTTAGGGTATGCTATGACCGGCTTCAGGCTCCCCATCACTGCGTTTAGAAAACTACATGTCTGGTTTGGACTGTGGGAGAAAGTCCCTTCTAATAAACTGTGTCCCTCTTGGAGGAGAAGCATATTCTGTAGCTGTCAAGAAAGCACAGTAAACTACAGAAGATGTTTCAGCTTTTCCCCAGTAAACCTCTGTGCACTAAGACTTTCTCCAGAGTGTATCTCAGTACTTTCACTGCGGAACAAAAGTAACAAAAGCTCAAAAAGGAACAGACAAACCATACAAGAAGAAGAGGAAGAAGAGGATGAAGATGAAGAGGAAAGCGATTTGGAAGATGAATTTGAAAATGACCCCAACATAGTAAAAGATTACAAGGATCTTGAAAAAGTAGTGCAGTCTCTTCGTTATGATGTGATCATGAAAGCTGGTCTAGACGTTGCAAGAAAGTAAGTATGGAAGAAAAAACCTGCTGATGAGGAAGATGTCATGTATCTAGAATTTGAGTTCTGATACCCTTTTATTGTTGCAATAACTCAGTATTTTTTTTTATTGGTGTAGCTGGTTTGACTGCCTAAATTACATTTTGGATGTATGGGTGTTCTTGTTTCACCTTACCTCCCTTGAAACAGCCTGTTTTCTGCTTTTCACTGTCTGCAGTATTTGTAAGATTGCAGAGGAGGCATTTTATATCAGTTACTATTTATTTAAAATTAATAAAATGCAAAATACTGTACTAAGTAATACAAAAAGATCTAATTTGAGATTGAGGGAGTAAAATAATACACTACTTACTGTCTGTAGAAATAGGTGACGTTAAGTATAAACCTCACATACTATGTCAACCAGGTAAATGTGCAGTCTGTATATCACAGTGTTTGATCTAATGCAACCTACAGAAGCCTTATATTGCAATGTTGTTAGAGCAGAATATTAGTGTAACTTAATCACTTAAAAATTATTAAACTGGCTGGTGCAGGAAAGGGGACATTATTCGTTGGGTATTCAGGAGACAGGTCGTTAGAAACAGATTTTTATTGTTTGCACCTGTGGCACAGAGCAACTGTACTCTATAATTTCATTTAGTATCTGTGAAAGACTTTTTCTTTACTTCCAGTTCAAGTCTGTCCCGACCTTAAATAAAGGTAGCCTTTATGCGCAAATTAGAGTTGTGGAAATGTGCCTTGCACATGAGTGATGGTCTTGTGTATCTGCAAAGAAACAATTGCATTTGGTCTGCTGCACACTGTAAATGCAATAAAACCTTGTTTTTCTTCAGTAAAGTAGAAGATGCATTCTACAATAATGAACTCAGGCTGAATGGAGAAAAACTATGGAAGAAAAGTAGAACTGTAAGACTTTTTAAAATTTAAATCTTTTAATACAGTACAAGAAAATAACTAAGGCATGACCTCTTCTCCCTCTTAAGTTGCTCTGCAAAGGTGAATGAATAGCGTTGCTAACACCACTTCCAGCTTCGTGTGTGTGTGTCTGTGATTCCGTGGGTAAGACATTATTCCTTAAGGCAGACAGGAGACTTGGGGTATTAGAGAGTAAAAATCTAGGGCTGAAAGTCCGGAGAAGGCAGACAGCAGTAAGGACAGAACTTTCCAAGTTGCTGAAGGAAGTGATGATAGATGCGAAGTTAGGAATGATTAAATCTGAGATACTGGTGGAGCAGGCACATGATTAAAGGAGAAAGTTTGATGATAGAAAGGTACTGAAACTGGGATAGCCCAGGAAAGGTTATTGTACCTGCAACAGAGCACACAGGAACACAGTTCAGAGAAGAGCCAGAAGGATTGCAGGCTCTCTCTCACAACAGAGCTCACTGGAATGGTGACAAACGTATTTCTAGCCACCCTTTCAGTGAGGGTGATCCTAGGTGGTGGTTACTGTCATCAAAGGGCAATAAGACGAGAAGTTTTAATTCCTGTTGCCCTAAAGTTAAGGCTAGTTTTTGGGAGGCAATACTGCTTTTGTGACTTTTGAAGTGAACATAAGCAGTTGATCAGCACTCTGGTTTTTAAAGCACTTTAAACTGTTTTAAGGGAAGGAGGGAGAATTTGCATTTTGCTGGTTTGTGTCTGTGTAGATACAAAAAGATTGGCAGGAAATGCCCTTCAGGAAAAAAACATACTACATTACATGTTTTTCACAGAGTTAGGTGTCAGTTGTAGAACAGGAAGGATAAAGCTCTTTAAACTGTTTTAAGGGAAGGAGGGAGAATTTGCATTTTGCTGGTTTGTGTCTGTGTAGATACAAAAAGATTGGCAGGAAATGCCCTTCAGGAAAAAAACATACTACATTACATGTTTTTCACAGTTAGGTGTCAGTTGTAGAACAGGAAGGGTAAAGCTCTTAGCAGAGAAGCTTGTGGGACATTTAATTTTTTATTGCCAGGGCTTTCTTAGAAGTTCATAGCTGGAGGATCTATAATGGGTCTAGTATTGCCTGCCTTCCTCCTCTCCTGTGAGACAAAAACATTACATGGAAAGAAAGCAACACAATTAAAATTGGACATAGACTGTGAGGGTTTGTTTTCCCCAGGGAATTTTTGTAATCACTTATCTTCTCTTTCTGTTTCCAGGTGAAAGTTGGTGACACGCTGGATCTCATAATAGGTGAAGATAAAGAAACAGGAACTGCTGTAGTTATGCGGGTAGTCTTAAAAAAAGTATCTAACAAAACTGAAAGTGAAAAATACAAAGTAATTTTGAGGCGTTGGAAAAACTTAAAAGTGCCCAAACAGGATGTACTTAAGTAACAGGGGGTTGCATGTGGCAGCATAAGATTTTTGCAGAAAACCATATTTGTTGTTAAATATTAATTTTGGTTAAACAAAATTACAGTACCCTTTTTTAAGGGCTTGTGTCAGAATGTTCTCTCCCTCTGCTGTGTACATCAATATTCATGCAATAAGCCTGTCAGTTTTTGCAGTTAGTTTTGTTTCATGGTACTGTGGGATAAAAGATCCAACCCTTACATTTCCAGGCAGTTTCCTTACAGATGTTATAAATAATGAACCAATAAAGAGTGATTTGATCACTGTTTAATTGCTGTCTAATTTTGTTAATCAGAAAGGTTACACTAAAGCTGCCATCACAACAAGCAGAACTGCTATCTCTAGATTAATGAAGTAGGCATAATAGGGATAAAAACCCCAATTGGGTAAAATTGCTTCCTTTTTTCATTATTGGTTTGATCTCAGTTAACAGTACCAACTCTGTGCTTATACACACTGCTGCTATACCAAGACTACAGAAGGATACTGACTGCAGCTGTGTATTTCTAAGCAGGAACCTGCACGGTGACAGAGAATGAATCATAGCAGTGATACTCTGCTCTCATGAAGAAGGCAGATCAGTGAGGAGATGCTGAATTTTATTGTTTAAGTAACTGTTTAGAGGAAAATGAAAGCTCAGTTTGTCACATTCATTTCAGTGTGGCATTCAAGAGAGTATTTAATACTTAGGTGGTGTAAAGACCTGAGCAAAGGTCAGACCATACTGTGATAAAAAGCTGATGTCTGTATTACTACAGGAGAATACTGTCACTTTGGACAGACATCTCAGGAGTAACCATTTGCACTTGTAACGTTGAACATATGCTTCTCCCAACACAAGCAACTTCTTGGATGAACTGTGGTGCAAACAGAATTTTTATTCTGTTTATATATGTTTAGACAGTCACATGCAGGTGTGTGTCTGCGGGAAAGCTGGCCAGTAGGAGCAGGTAGCTACTGTTCATCCAGTCCATTGTCTGCTTCCTACCTAGTTTGAAGAGCCCAGAGGGAAGAAGATAGCCCAGACCAGGCAGCAGGAGCTTATTCCAGGACACTTTTTCTTTGATGTTCCTGAAATCTAAATGGGCAGGCAAGAAATTGTTGCTCACAAAGCAAGCCTAGTGCTCTGGTTAAGTATCAGACTATCAGGTACACATAAATGCTCTGGTAAAGTAACGACTGGCTTTTCACTGCATAAAATGTCTCTGAGGTGAGAGGAAGCAATGGTGCTCACCTGGTTAGGAGCGTGTGGGAACTGCTGGGGTCAGCTCCCAACAGCTGCTCGATGACTGTGTTTAAGCACTGGCTGTACCTGCTGCTGTCCACAGCCTCAGAAGCGGTGGCTCCCGAGCACGGGATTTAAAATGATTTCTAGCTTTCTTCAGGAATAGCTACAAATCCGTGCTGTTTTGGGCTTGTTTTTAATGTCTGTGTAGATGTTTAAAGATGCAGATATGTGCCTAGTTAATGTTTTAGAAGCATAATGACCTTTTAAAAATTTTTTCTTACGAGGATATGATCCTGGAAAGCTTTCCTGCAGGATTTTGGTGATTAACTGCAGAAGTTAAGGGATTCAGCATTGCAAGCATGCAGAGGAATATGGCACGCTGTACTTTCACTGTGGGCATGTCACTGCTGTCTTTGCTGTATTTGTTGGAGCTTGCACCAAGTGCTATGGAAATAAACAGATGAGATGCATCCTCTGTTCCCCAATTCCACTTACCTTGCTATTCTAAGTGGCTCCCATAATCTCCAGGGATGCTGAGACAAACAAGTAGAAAGATGTGTTATGAGTAATATGTCAGTGAGCTCCAGTTGCTGGTCAGCAACCATTCGTTACCTGTCAAGTACTGATCAGTATGTACGGTCACAATGCTTGGCACCTCCAGCAGTAGCAGCTTACACAGCAGAGCTTACAGGGCCAGAGTAGGACCCCACTCAGGGGTGCTTTGGGGCTTGGGAATAGCCTAGGTACAGACGTCAAGAAAGTAACTTTCTGAAAGGGTCTCTTCTGTGTAGGATAAAAACAAGAGCAACAAAAAAAGCCAAAACCTGCCTGGCATCCAAGATGGGCAGGGAAGTCGTATCCCTGAAAGCCATTGACATAAGAAAGGGCACTGGCAGCGTGATTTCTTGAGTTGGACGGAATATGAATACAATATTAGGCCAAAACCTTAGATTTTAACTCCTGGAAAAGCCTATTGGGAAGTAAAGTAGACCAAAGCTTGCAATCAAGACCTAGCCCTTTCCTATTCATGACAGAGACAGACTTTACCAGGACCTGTAGTGACAGAACAAGGGGCAATTGTTTTAAACTGGAAGCGGGTATATTTAGACTGGATATAAGGAAGAAACTTTCTGTGATGAAGGTGGTGAGACACTGGAACAGATAACCCAGAGAAGTTGTGGACACCCCATCACTGGAAGTGTTCAAGGTCAGGTTGCATGGGGTTTGGGCAACCTGGTCTAGCAAAAGATGTCCCTGCCCATGGCAGGGGGGAGGTAGACTAGATGACCTTTAAAGTTCCCTTCCAACCCAAACCATTCTGTGATTCTAAGACTGCCACCAAAACCAGGCCTCCACTGACAGATGAAGGTAGAAACAGGCTTTCATCAAGTGTTGATCCACTAGTGGTATCAGCAAAGTAAAGAAAAAGAAAGGCAGACTTCCTAAGGAGTCTTGTGATCGGTGAGAGCAGCCTCTGTGGATTCAGGATTGAAATGGCTGAAGAGAGAACTGTGCCTGTTGGCTTCAGAAAAAAAAGTTTCAGTCACAGGCAGGGTGATCTCAGAGGAAAACAATGATAGCAGGAAGGTAAGTAGCTGTTCCACTTGGCTACATTGATCTGTCCTGGATAAGCTTCTCTATTGATCAGACCCTTTTATTGGGGCCCAGCATTGTGGAGCAGGTTGCGCTCCTTTCTGCAGCCTTTAAAGATTTGGATTGTGAGCTAAAGAAAGGCAAGGTTTGGTTAATGACTGACCCGAGTGCCAGGTGAGCAGAGCTAGCATGTGCTCTAGGAGGTGTAGGAACAGGCATATCATAGTCACATCTTTGCTAGACCTTCAGGGGGCTTTTAGACAAGGTAGGCTCACACAGACTGTGTGCACATAAAGCATACATAAAGTTATCTGGGAATCAGCTGTGCAGCTCCCCTTCATCAGCCATGAATTTAAGATCATGGAGTCCATCATGGTCAAGTGTCTGGTCGGATGACATGGCAAAGTTGTAAGAAGTGGTTGAACAGAAGTTCTGATGATCTTCCCAACTCGGAGAATCTGCCACTAGTCAACTACCCAATCTCTAATGCCACCAAGTACTGAGTGGCAGGAGACACACAAATGCTTTTCCTCCTGCTGAGGGCTCAAGGTATGGACAGTGAACTGGGTAAGTGATTGCTGCTTCTGCCTTCTGTCACTGCTGTAATGAATTTCCTGCTCCAGGGCATCTGCCATTCCTAGTCTGCACAGAGAAGGAACTGTGTGAGAGCGCTTCCTCGCAGGGACACTGCTGAGAGATCATAAAGGGAGTTTTGGATGGCTTGAGAAGTGACTGACAAGTTCGCTGGAGGCTGCCCAGATGACTGTGCTGTCCCAGACATCTCTGCATTAACCAGATGAATCCAACCCTGCACTAGGCATGGAGCCCAGAATGGCCAGCATCCCTGCCCTCGCACAGAGGGAGGACCTGATCCAGGAGTCTGTCTGCTCCTGTAAGAGGCAGGTACCATCAGGCTGCGGGTACCAGACCCAGTTGTCCCTGCATAGCACACAGCATTATCCGACAGCTTTGCATGTTTCACCTGCTGCAGGAGCATGCTATTGGCTGCAGCATCTGCTGCATGTGGGCAGCCTGCGTTACTGAGCAGGGCGCGGGAGGATCTTGTGAAGGAATAGCGAGGAAATGCTCACACAGGAGTTGGACTCGGGTCTGCCAGAAGAGCCGGCGTGGTCAGCTAAAGCAGGCACATACTGACACTCCTGAATAGGTTCCGAGTTCTGCTGCCTACAGATAAACACAGAGAGAGGGGGGTTATACTCCGACCCATCAGACTGCTCAAAATAATAGGCAATTCTTTTTTCCATACAACAGGAAAGCACCAAAGTGTTTCTGGGTTTTCTTTTTGGGGTTTTTTTTTTTTGTTTCTTGGGTTGTTTGGGTTTGTTTTTTTTTTTTCTTTTTTTTCCTGTAATGGCATGTCAGAACAGGACAGTCTACCTTCAGCACCTACTAAAATACAGTGTCAACAGCCCGTGCAGGCCAACTGCAGTGGTCATTCTGTGATGGCACGCACTGGGAAAGGAATGCAAAAGGGGGGTGTGTGGGACCCATGCACATCTGAGTACCGCTGAAGCTAAAAAATTCTTCAGTTTCCAGCACTTGAGTATTCAACACACATATAGAGAAGCACTTCAAGGAAACCCCTGTGTTTTTTTAATTCTTGGAACAAGGAGAGATAGGGACCAAGGGAGACAAGGGACAGCATTACATGACATAAAACCAAACTCCTAGGTTTTATACTAGGGATCAAATCTCAAATGTAGTATGTGATCCTACTGACTGACTCATTCCTACTGCTGACACGTACCTCAGGATTTTGTTTTCACATGAAACATTTGTAGACCTTGCTAACACGCTACCTTATCAGCTAACCTAAGAGGTACATTCCTGAAAGTGTAACAATGAAAGCAGGATTATGTCTTCCAGACATAAGTGAGCACTAACACGCAACACTACAAAATGCCTCTGGAAACAATGACAAACAGTTGCTTTGCCATAATGAAATTTGTGAAGGAAATTGGGAATAATTACTTGATATTTCTGTCTGTGTGTGCAGATATTAATTAGCTGATCTTTCTCCAGTCTTCAGCAATCACAATTTGTTTTGTGTCCATCTACTAGCACAAATTTTAGTGTGATTTGCTACATGGTGATTTTGCCCATTTTTTTGACTGCAAAGTCATGCTAATTTTTTAAAAAAGAAAATAAGGAAAACCTAGTAAAAAAAAAAAAAAAACAAATTTGTTGTATTAATGTTTGTCTTTGGCAGGGGGGAGAAAGGAGAGAAGTGGGAAAAGAACATCTCATATTCTCCAGAACAGCTTTATTTCCCTTCTATTACAGTTCTTCCCTTCCTGTGAGAATCAAAGTTCTTCTTTCCAAATAATTAATGAAAGAAAAATGCTCAGTGGGGACCACAGCTCCATTATGGAACAGACCAGGAAATGAAGTAAGCAGGTGGCCTGCTCATGTCACAGGCTTTA